GACAAGTCGGAGTGCGCGTACTAACGTCCGTGAGCGTAACAATATTTTCAGGATATATTTACAAGGGTAGGAATGTCAGTGTAGATATTCGGTTAAGATGGATTGACTCCAGGGAGAGGTAGGAAGTAAGTCGGGTGGCACCCGAAGGTGCCCGCGCCGAAAGATGCGAAGGCTGTCGCCGGTTGAGGTCGTCTAACCCCCTCCTCCGGGGGGGAGTTCTCCTCGTCCTCGCCGAAGAGCTCTCTCAGCCGAGCCTGAAGATACGGGTTGCGCTGCACCGACGTGATGGCCCGGATCTTGGGGAGCTGCGACTTCCGCGCACGCTTGGCCCGGAGATCCCGGAAGCGCTCCCGTGTTCTGGAACGCTTCGACGGGCTCGCCGAACGTCGGGGGCTGGTGCTTGTGCTCGACGTGCGGTGCGGCGGACTAGTGAGGCTCGCTGATTCGGCGGGCAGGCTCGATGGCTGGTCTGGCGTCGCCGGAGGTTCTCCAAGAGGACTCGGCGGTCGCGCCGGCGTCCTTGGTTGCTGCAGCGTTGATGGCCGCGGGCTCAGAGGCCGGCTCCGGACGGGACTCCGCGGTCGCCCTGGCGTCGGCTTCTGCGGCGCTGTCGGCCGCGGGCTCGGAGGCTGTCTCCGGACAGGACTCCGCGGTCGACCTGGCGTTCGTGGTTTCTGCGGCGTTGTTGGCAGCGGGCTCAGAGGCGCCAGTGAGGAACGAGACTGGGCGCAGGCGACGCCCGTCTGCGTGGAGCGCGAGACCTGGGTGGTGACCGGCCGAGGTCGTGGGTCCGCCAACCTCCACCTTGTCACCCTCTCGTCTGGCAGGTCCACCAGAATCAGCCTCCACGGCAGATACGACACCCCCGGATCCAAACGTCGTCCTTCGCAGATCTCGGGGGTCGACGGAGGAGGGCTCCTGTGTCGAGCGACGGGCGCCCTTGCGGCTGGGGGACGTTCAGGTCCCAGCCTCCACGGCAGATCCGTCACTCCCGGATCTGAGTGTCGTCCTTCGGTAAGCTCGGGAGCCGATGGAGGAAGGCTTCTAGGTAGAGCGGCAACGGGCGCCCCTGCGGCCGGGGGACGGTCCGGTCCCCGTTTCCTTGCCCGCGGGATGGTGGTGGTCGTCCTTCCAACGGTGGTCGAATTTCGCCCGGGTGGGCAGTGGAAAGGAGGCAGAGGCCTTGGCGGAAGCTTTGGATCGAAAGGCCGGGACTCCCTCTTCCTTTCGATCTCAAAGAGCCGAGCTTGCTCTGTCCGAGGGTACAGGTATCTCAAAATGCTTCAGGATAACGGCCTACGAGGTAAGCTCGCGTTATCCTGAAGCGAGGAACAGGCTGAGGACCTCCCACGGATTCATAGATGTAGCGGGCGTGGGTGTTTCTTCATTACGAGATTTGTCGTGGCGCCTGCGGCGCCTAGCGGCGGCGCCGCGCACCACTCTCATCACGTGGCGGGCGCGCGCGGGCTCGGCGCGCGGGCCAAGCGCGCGTGCATTAATGTAAGCGTACCGCTACAAACTAATGTAAGAATATTAGGCTCTAATATACAAATAAAAATGGTAAAATAAAATGCCTTTAAGAGCCGACGCAGTTCTTGTGGCGCAAATGATCCCTTTATTGAAGTATAGTAGACGTTTCGACTCTTGGATTGAGTCCTCTTCAGTACAGATTTTTCTCATATCATCGCAATATAAATTCCATTTCCGATCTGCTCCCTAGCTCATTCTTAATAATTTAATCAGAAAACTGATGTGTCAAATTGAAGTGAAAATGTCAATGCTGTAAATAAAATCCAAACCTATGTATGTCTTATAATATAATTCAGTTTACTGAGTCACTAAATTAAAAACG